TATAAATACATTGTTCATGAGTATGAAATCATGACGTCTTAATTCAAGAGGAATTCACCAGCATAACAAAAGATGCTATAAACGGACTAGTATTAAGAGCTCCAGTATACCTTTATTATAAATAAGGTTAATGGTCTTCTGTTCATTATTTTTCGATTAATTGTAAATCATGACTCTAAAGTCGGCGCGGCGATTTAAAGAATAATGGATTTTTGATCATCATAAAGATTTTAGTCACTGATCCTCGAGTATTGTTTCCTGGCACTTTCCAATTTAAGTTTTTTTTTCAGGCGAAATTCCCAGCTGAGTTTATCCTTAAACTTGAGGGTCCGGATTTCAGAAGAGGATATATTATATTTTTTTTTTTTATTGAAGACGATTCATTTTTTTGATGAAGAAAACGTTAAACAAGATTCTGATTACTATATGAAAAAAAACCTCTAGGAAAATTGAAGGAAACGGGTAGCAGTTTTGATTAATGACCCGTCGCAGTAGATATTGCAATCATCGGTGAACATAATGCATATGACTGACTTAGAAAGTCTTGAAAATGTCATTAATAGTGAAAAAAAATAGAGTGTAACACTGAGAGTAGATATTTGGGGTAATTTAAGAGGGAGAGGTGGTTATTTATTCAAAAAAAAATTACGATTGACACTAGAACTTTATATTCATATAAACAGATTTCCATTAAATTCCTAGTTTCGAAGAATTGATGTTTTTCTACACAGTGTCGTATGCTTTTTGTTGAAGTCAAGAAGTATTGTAGTGAATTAGTGTKGATTGTTCTTACAGATGGAGCTGATATCGTTGTGTATTAAGGTTGACTTATCAAAAGTCTAATGGTTATGTTTAAGTACCTACATGTTGGTTTTTGGTTGAGAGATTTTTCGATTCTAGTATTCAAATAAAAGTTTGTTTATTATTTTTTCTAKGAACTTGCTTTAAATACTTATTAACAATATTGGGCTGTAGTTTTCGATTTCAAATTTAGATTTGCCAGGATAGACCCCCCCCCGAAGTTCAGGGCTAAGTACGCCACCTGTATACGTTATAATATCATCTAAGTATTTATGTCTTAAATCATATAAATTTCTAAATATATGATGTTACTTATATCTGAAGTAGCGTAGTTAATATCTGAACCGTTTGCTCTAATATGAGTGCATACTTATCTACATTTTATTAATAAAAAGAATTTATGCATTCGAAATAAATATATTTATTTATAGATAGGTATTTTTTATGCAAAACAGAGAATACAAATGCCATACTGTCTATAGTTGATACTCAAATGTTTTGACCTCTTTGGATACGCCCTAGAAAACTTGGTATCCGACATATATATAGATTCACACGTTAAATGATGAATAGTGTATTGAACTGTCAGTTTTATTGGCTAAAGTTTGACATCACACATTTTAGCGGGCGAGGTGAATGGAAAAGTCTGTGGACTATGGATAAATACATGTCCCATCTTTAGATAAAATATCAAAATACTAAATATCTGTGTTCTCTGTATGATATTTTAAAATATGAAAATCTTCGTTTGTATAGGTAGGTGCTGAACCTATTTAGCATTCATTTTGTATATAGATGTTAAAATTAAATAAAATACCTTAGGAAGCGTATAGCCTATAAGTCATAATCATTTAATTTTTTTTTCAGTGCTTTAAATTTTCATTGGTTTTAGATAAATATTTGCTGATTTACAGTTTACATGGTGCAGCCAGGGAAAGACGGTCGGCCAGTCACCAGCTGTGAGGGCGTGTACGTTTATGCAGGCATACTCATGATGATAGGAAGTGTTTTTGTGACCGTGTTGCAGCAATCAGCCACAGCCATCAAGCCGCGATCGGCGTATTGCGAAGTGTTGGCTCCGCATCTTTRAAGCGCTGCAATCGGTACAATCGGTACATCCAACCAATAAAAAAAATAAAATAAAATTACAACTTAAGCAAAACATTATAATTGTATATATGTGGAATACTTTATTTATATATAAGTAATATAAATGAAAAACAGAAAAACCTATAAATGACATATTATGATATGATCATTGTCGTATCATCCCATAATATGTTACTTAACCTGTATAATATACTAAATACGTTATAAATACAAAAATATTTATAAAGATTTTACTGCCTTAAATAAACCCAACAAATTCTGAATTATTAAAAATAAATAATGCAGTAGTTACGTTTTTTTTTTACGATGTAAATTTTAAAATAAATTAAGAATAAATCTTAATACATAATTTTATAAGGGATCCTAAAAGTTTTTTATTATATTATCTGTGAGTTAATTTCGTGGTGACTAGTTTTCGTTGGGCTGCAGTCAGGTAACACCCGTTTTTTATCCCCACCCAGTCAATTATATGCATACCTACGTTGCAGGCAAATAGCTAAGGGAGACAAGGTGTGCCTGGCCCACCCAAAGTATTCAGAGGGGTCCATTATTATTTAATAATATTAATTGTTTCCAAATTTCTAATAGATTTTCTATAAAACATAAAAATTGTAGAAAAATACTTTTATATTAGCACTAAAATTATATTGATTGTATTTCATTTAAAAATTGTGTCTATATACGTATAAATATTTGGATTTTTTCATCATTATAATCATCAAAAGCATTATTTGTATTTGATTTTTATTTATGTGTTTAAACGTATTTTTTTTATTAAACTAAAATTAGTGTAACTTAGGTATATTAATATTATATTATATTATAGTTACTGACAAAATGATAAAACATGTTATTATTAGGTTATATACTTGTATTATATTTGTGGTAATGATATGTTGAAAACTACCTTTCTATAATATACAAAAATATCGGGAATGAGGGGCCCACCTAATGAATATTTTTGACTACGTGCCTGCCTATGCGTCTTATTCAGTCTGCCGCATATAAAAGTAATACCTACTCGTCCTACTCTTATAATCTGTATCATACATTATAATATATCGCTACTCAATTGCGATAACAAAGCTCTATTGGCGTTGATAGGTAACGGTGCTATCAATATTTTTAGGCGAAAACATTTATATAACTATATATGTAGGTACACCAGGGGTGGACTGGGATTTGGAATTAGAGTGGGCCACATCTATATACCTATTGATTGCACACAAAAAGGTATATTAAATAGAACATATTTTTTTAAATTATAGCATCGAACATATTATATCTTATTTGACAAATTTTTCCTTATTAGCTATATTTATTATAAAAGCGTCTTAAAATTAAAAAGTTTTTTTTTTTTAATTTTCACTAGTTATAGCTAAGTTATTAATAAYTTTAGCATTATTAAGCTTAACTAATATATCTTTTTCACTCGACATAAGTATAAATGCTTTTAAATTAGGTCGGCTTAAAGATTTTCGCAATCGATAACTATTTTTATTTTATTATTTTGTATTTTCGTATATTATGCATGTATACAATTTATCAGACCTGTATTTTGGCCGACAGTATTTTCACTCTAAACTTACCATCGATGTGTCCATCGAGAATAATATTTGTTCAATATTGATATTATGATAGATATTTTTTAATTAGGCACTAGCCCTGATCTAAACTTAGGTTAGGTTATAACTATAAACTGTATTTTTAAGTATAAGTGTTTTATAAAACATTATTAATATTAATAACTAAAAAATGTAATGCAGTATTGCAGTATATCGTATATGGTATTGATTATTTGGTTGAAACCTCTTTAGTCAGTTATAAAATTGGAGGCCTACGACACTTAGAACTCTCACGGTAGTTTAATGCCACTATTATYACTACTTATTGTAATATAATTAMAATATATTATRTTATTATCTATATTTTTTATTACAAAATTTCAAATTTATTGATATATATTTTTAATATTAATTCTATGCATGTACGAATTGGAATTTATTTTTTATGACATGCTCTGCTAGGACTAAAAGTAATAGCTGTAGGTAAGTATAAAATAAAATAAAYATACTTTTAAAATGTGTGTAAAATAAATTAAATAAATTTTGTTTATATTATATYAACAACATTATGTGAAAAAAWTATTTTGTTAAAATTATGCAGTTAATAGGGTATGATCAATAAATAAAACAATATTCATAAATTTGTTCAATTTCAATGTAATAAATCGATAAAGTTACTAGAAATAAAATTTAAAATCTTTTATTCTATTAACTTAGTAGGCTTCTTTGATTTTTTTCAACTTGTAGCTTTGTCTCTTTGACTATGAAATTGACAAATTCTTGGAATTTAGAAAAGTTATAAATTTTATATGATAATAACAAATTCAATTATTTTTAAATTCATTGATATTTTTGACCCTAGTAAAAAATATATAAGTAAAATATTATGAAAAACAATAAAATCATATTATTAAAATAAATTCTTGTGGATTGTCAAATTTTTTAACAACATTATTAATAAACCATATCAGTAATCAAAAAATAAGAAAAAGATGTAATAAGTTTTTACTAAAACAATGTTGAACTTGATGTTTTTTATAACTTGCACATTTTATTAACTAAAAGTTAAATACATTTCTTATGATTAACATTAAAGGYGTCTCCCTAACAAATGTCAAATACCAATAAATTATAAAAAATTATGATTTACGAATATTGATCATAGATTATTCACCTACTAACTGCTATAATATTATTTAAATAAAATATAGATATAATAAGAAGTAATTTTTATTTTCATAAACTGTAACATAATTTTGACAGTAAAACAAATCATTTATTTTGATTTACTAGGTATTATATATTATTATATTTCCTTCTCTTCTTTACCTTAGACGTATTTTTAGTCCTTGTATGAAATCACATAAGAAATTGAAATAAATTAATACAGTACACTATAATATTAGGTATGATATTAAGGGATGATTAAAATTACTTTTATTGTTTTTAAATATTATGGTCTTATATAAKTAACCAATAAAACTAGTTATACAAATTATCAAATGAAACAATAAGTTTATTTTAATAAAAATAATTATTTTACAATTTTTTTTTCAACTTGTTACATTTATAACAATCAATTGTTATTGATAAAATGTTAACATTGGCTAAAAAAAATATAAGTGATTCAACCCAAATTAATTGAAATGTATTGAAACCTAAAAACTCTAAGCAATAGGCAAATGAAAGCCACCCAATTTGAGGTACTACCCAAATCATTACCAGATTTATAGTTTCAATAAATGTTAGGTTAATAAATGGATAACACAATGGTAAAAATGACACAAACCAAACAAAGTATTGAGAAGTCATGACAGTGTTAAATGTAACCATGATAAAAGATAAACAAAACATGCAGAAAGGTAAGTCTTTGATACTTGAAAATTTGAATGACGTGGACACTAAWAGAATTAATAATGGAAGTTTTGTTGCTATACTATGCATTAATGATATTTTGTTGAAACTAGATTGTAAATAATTAAAATAAAAGTAAATGGAAAAATTATGACGCACATCCAATCGACGACTATGGTATAAATAGGCTTCATCCAAAAACGGTTGCCCATAAAAGTAATACCAAGGCCATGTTACAACAAATAATGATAAAATAAATGTGACAACAAATAATATTTTTTTGCGRGTAGGAAAAAGCTGAATACAAATCATTTTAAATAACGATGAATAATTATTATCACTATCAATGGACAAATAATACGCTAAACAATATATAATGGGATAAATCCTTACATGCACAGATATTGCAAGACAAATTGCAGATAGTATATAACGACTTTTGATATGAGCAAGCAATGTTATAAGAACAAGAAAACAAGAAATAGAATCAGCATTTCCACGAGTTGAAATAACAATACTTAAAGGATTGTATAACCATAAGTACGCACAGATATTACTAAAACTAGGATGGGATTTTGAAACTAATTTACGTACAATAATGGCAATAGCCAAATCAAATGCTGAAAATAATAGCTTCCCCCAACAGTTGTGTAGCAAAATATTTGGTATAAGTAACATAGCTATTAATGGAGTGTATCTATATGTTGGTCTCATATATGGAGAGTTACCTTCCCACATATGTTGAGCTGCATCTGTAAATATTTTGTAGTCGATATCAGTATAATGGACACCTATGTCATCATTGTCATACCATTGTGAGAAAACAATCATAAATATTCTAATAAAGAAAGCTAATACTATATGCCAAATGAAATACATATTATTTGTTCTAATAATTGCAACTAATTTAAATTCACATTTAAATTCTTGAACTAAGCTTCAGTGCATTTGAAGCCAAACACTTCTGAAACTTCATAAATTGGGTTTTACAAGAGTTAGGTTTTAAATCTTTTTCATTTTGTATAATACATGCAGCATATTCTAAACCTTCGACGCGACATGTTAGTAAAAGCTCAGGATATCTTTTAAAGCGTGATTTCGCTTTATTAACTGCATCCATTACTATTTGCTTTTTACTGCTCTTGATCTGTAAAAATAAAACAACAATTTAATAGATTTTTAAAATAGAAGCCAAACCAGTGATTTGAAATAAATTATTTTTAACTTAAATATTTTAATATAATAATTATCGCATTTATTTCTAGCAAAGTCAAATAAGTATACAAATAACAACCAAATAAAAAATTATGACTTACTCAATTTCTTTTTGAAGATTTAATTGTTTTATTTTTTCGATAACTAATTTCCTTTTTATATCCTCAGCAGTATTTGGTTTGAAAATATCATAAAACCCTTTACTGAATAAAATTAAAAAACCGATTGTACTTCCAGTAATTGCAAATGTTCTAGGGTATCGTCTGTAAAATGGTAAGTCTTTTAATTTTTTTCTATCAGAAAAGTTTTGATAATTATGTTGTTGATTTGGTTGTTCTTCTGACATATTATTCCTAATTAAAAAAAAAAAAAAAACATTATACAACTATTTACGACAATATTAATACATGAAAAATGCATTTAACCCTTTGAGGAATGAATTGAATGGACGGGTAAATATTCAGAGACCCAATTAGAAATGGAAAATCGAATTAAAGGTATATACTTCTGAACAATGACATGTCCAAAATAAAAGTATAAAATAAAATAAAAACCCTGAAGCGTTCTTATACTTTTTGTTGGATTACTTTCATGTTATGCATCGATTGTGAATCAATGTCTACTAATAATTAAAAATAGATCTATTCAAAATTTAAAAACATTTTTAATAATAAATCCTTATATAATAATAGATTTGTTACAAAAATATTAAGATGATGTCAGCACACTGTTTCTTTTCTCCCTCTGACCAACACTCAACACAGACAAAATGAATTTATGCAGAATAATTGTTGGTTTTGAATAATCTTGGTGTAAAATCACCCATCACAAAATCAATAAAAAATAATATTTTTAAAGAAATTACATTTAAATTTGTCTAAATAATGTCTAAAAACAATTTAAGCAACATTTAAATGATTTTTTTTTTACTTTGAAATTTGAATCTAAAGCCAAATAATAATAAAATATAATACTAATATGTCATACCGCTGAAAATATTATCCTCTGTAAATTTTGTAATATGTGAATTTACATTAAGGCTACTCAAAAATCATAAAAAAAAATATTTCATCTATATTGAGGGTKAGTTTGAGAAATAAAACAAATGTTGTGAGGACATCTTCTTAATTAATTAATTTTTTGCACTAATAATACATGGCCTTCCACGTGCTACACTGTAGGTTTCTGCAAATAACAGTTTTAAAATCACTGCCCTAAAGCGAAGAAAAAAATTGGTTGTACCYTATAAAAGTTTTTTTTAGTATATATGACACATCATTACTCATCAAAAGGTTAAATAAACTACTATAATACAACATATTAAAAAAAACAAAAGTAGTTCAAATCATGAAATTAATGATTAAAAATTAGAAATATATTTAAATAAAACATTTTTGTACAAATAATTTATTATAGTATTTTTACCTTAATTTTTTGGTTTTCCTTAGTTATTGCTTTAGGTTTCATACCAGAACACACTAGAGAAATTGTATGATATTTTTTACAACACTCTAGCAGATTGTCTATTTGCTTGGTACAACGAGACTCTTGAAAATCATTTTCTACGACAAAAAAAGTGAATTAACATCATTATTTAAATCAAATTATATTTTTCAAATCATATTAACAACATATTATTTTGCATTTAATGCGTATATAACAGGTATAATCAGAGCCGTGTTAAGAGGGGGATGGCAAACAGGGCATTTGCCACTAGGCGTCACAGCTTAGCAATATCAAGGGGCATCTTGAACTTGTGCTAACGCTGTTGGTGAATCTTCAACTTACATTAGTGCCCCTGGGCGCCAAAAATATCAACATGTTCTGGATATAATTTAAACATTAAATAAACTAAATTTCTATAAATATTATCAATTATATCCCTATAGAAAATTAATATTAATTAAAATTTTAATTAACAGTTATAGGGATGGAAATAGTAGAAGCAATTTAAAAAGTAACTAAGAGACTGAATTTAATCATAAGTGACCAACTTACTGTTATTAAACAGTTTTCTTTGAATCTTTAAAAATAAYCAAACAATTTGTTGATGAATAAAAATATTTTCATGGATTGGAATGAGTAATAACTAATAACTTTTGGAAAGAAGTTTAAGTTCTCTTAATTGATGCAAAAAACCAAGGAAAAATTGTTGAAATAGATGAAAGCTTATTTTTTAAGCTCAACAATAATACAGGCAGAATATTTCTGTAACAATGGATATTTTGAGAAAGAGAACTATGTCTTGAAAAGTTGAAAACAAATATTTTTTTGGTCCAGGTTCTTGATAAGCCATATCAACTTTCTTCAACGCAATTTCATAAAAAAAAAAAAAAAAAGAACAACAATCAACTCACATTGTTGGTAGGTATACAACCCTAGCAAATTTGAAAATGTAGTTTTTAGAAATTTGACTGTAAACTACAGCAAAAACTTTTTAGATCCTGTAAGTAGAGTGCATAATCAAAATACAAAACAATATCTCTAGATATCAATAAAATAGCAGAACAAAAACAAATTGAAGGACTGCACATCATGATTTAAAATCATATTTAGTTGAGTCCACGAGACAACAAAATTTAAAAAAATGTAAATTCAAAGAAATTTTAAAAACAATCAAAATTTAATCCCATTCAATAAATTACTACTAAAAAAATTAAATTTTTGTACATAAATTAMATTTATTATTATTATAATAAAACCCTTTCTTACATATAASATCATATTAAACATATTAAAAATTCAGAAGGAATTAAATATAATTTGTTAAAAWAAAACATAATTAAAATTGTTTATGATAACAGGAAAGTAGGTAAATTTTAGAATCTTAAGTAGYAGGACTGCGATGCTTCACAAAACAAGGTATTCTAGTATAACAAGAAAGTAGGATCAATTTATTTTATTTTATCAACAGCATTGGTTCTGTAAATCTACCTATCACTAGGTGTATAATGGTGTAATCATTGTTGAGGAGTGTTGATTAATGACTTTGAAATAGTCTCAGGCCAATGATTTTTTTCTATTTTTTTCTAATCAACTACCTATGCACATGCAATTGTGTATAATTGACTCAAAATTCATGAATGCTCTTAATTATATGAGCATGAACTGACATGTTGTACACACATAATATTATAATAACATGACAATAAATGGAYCTCCCATTGATAGAATTATCATAAAAACACATTTATAGATTTTTTATGGTGTACATATGAGCCACCACTGTTTAAAGAATAAAGAATATATTTATTTTTAAAGATTTYGTGTGYGCTTAAATTGAGGTATGAAATTGGAATGAGAAAAAATGCACTTTGCGACAGAGTTAGTCGAAGGTTCRACTTTATAGTTGTTACTGTTATTCTTATTAGTATCAATAAAGTTTTTACCCTTACCAGATAGGCATTTTTGAATAGCGCAAGCTAACTTCTTACAGGGATCCGGTTTAGGCATAAATCGTAGATATACGGAACGGAAGAGAAAAAAATAAAAGCTAAACGTTGCGATCGCTCTATTCACATGTCCAWTCAGAATGTTCACGTACGAGTGGAGAACTGGAGAATGTAAGAAATTAAGGATGTGTAAGCCGTACGTACAACACTACAACTTTAGTACTTTACCGTGGTGTGAGTGTGTGACCGGTCGACGATCGCTTTATCATTATCGGCTTATCGCTAAATAATAAAATTGTGAAATAATTACGATTTGTGCTTGACACGGCTGTTCATGGACTAGAAACAACTTGGTGGACAGGATTTTATCTATTTTCTATTTACAGGTTAGCTGCTGGTGAAGTGGTGACGGGGGACCGGCCATAGATAATATTCTTATATTATCTATGGGACCGGCCTGCCTGTTATCAGTGTTATCACCAACACCGGGAATCGAATGTTTTCAAATTAGAAATGACAAAATTTTGTCATGAAATTAGATAAGAATCTATCTCGATGTTTTCAACACAGAATATTATGCATCATAATGTAATATCACAGAAAGGTCTAAATTAATTTTTTTGTTGGYGGTTTCGACCAAGAACACACGACGTACACGGCCCTACCACCCACATACAGTCATGGATGAGTGTAATGATTTTGTGTTTATTGAAATTATTACTACTCCACGTCTTAGTGGTAAGTAAWTTTTTTTGGACTGTATATGGACATTTTCATTTTCAAATTTTTTTTTCTAAATAACAATAACATTATATTTAAGTGTAAAAGATCTTTAAAATTTAGTAGAAGGCTCCTAATATACAGGTT